CTATAGAGAGTGGCAGGCACAATGCTTCTGCTCCTTGCTTTAGTATCCAAGGGGAGATTCTATCTGGGCCTATAGCCTTTGTCACATCCATCTCTAGTAAAAACTTCCTTACTTACCCACTGGTAATCTCAAACTTTTTTAGTGGTTCCTGGTTAACTATTCCCTCTCTTATCTCTGGAATTTCTCCTTACTCTAAGGTGAAGACCTCCTGGAATTTCTAATGTGTACATTCTTATGTGCACAATTTTTTAAGTGTACATATGTGTACATTGTGTGTGTGTGTGTGTGTGTGTGTGTGTGTGTGTGTGTGTGTGTGTGTGTACTCACTTATTTGCATTCTTTGAGTACATATAGGTGAGGGGTGTACAAATTTGAGTTTTTGGCTCTTTGGTCCCGCCTCTCAACTGTATATCAACTGGTGTACAGATTCCTGAGCCTACTGGGCTCTATCATATCTGCATTTGAAACTGTGTATGGAGTCAGCCTCCACCACATCACTTCCTAGTGCATTCCATTTACTAACTAACTTCGTAGTGATAATTGCGTCATTTATAAAATACCTTGTAAGGAATGTAATAAGTTCTATGTTGGGCAAACATCTAAAGATTTAAAATGTAGAATATCGCAACATAAATACTCTGTAAGACATGGCCAATTGTCTAATGCTTTGTTTGTTCATTTGTCGGAAAAAGCTCACCAAATTGATTGGGAGAGTGCTTCTTCAATAACAAATTGTAAAAGCACCTATAACAGAAACATAATTGAATCTGCTTTGATACAGATCACAAAAGAAAGTAATTTGAATATTAGCAGTGGTCTATATAACTTAGATCCATTTCTAATAGATCAGCTAAAGGGCGACTTAAGTAGGATCATTGGAAAACATTTGTCTCACTAATTCATTGTATATATTTACCATTTTATGCTATAATTACCTATGTATTGTGCTTGTATGTTTGCTGTATCAGATGGGCCATTGGGCTACATCAGATGGGCCAATTGGCTGCATCTGATGGGCCAATGGGCCGTCTGCGTTGTCCAAGTATTGTACCTCACCTCACTTAACCACTCTCTCCTGCCTATTTATACCCATCACTCGATCTGTAACATCACTCCTTCTGAAGATGTATTAATATACGAAAGTACTTAAGGAAATTTCTGTTTCATTTTTCCTCCGTGGTCTGACATTGTCATATATATATATATATATATATATATATATATATATATATATATATATATATATATATATATATATATATATATATATATATATATATGTCGTACCTAGTAGCCAGAACTCACTTTTTGGCCTACTATTCAAGGCCCGATTTGCCTAATAAGCCAAGTTTTCATGAATTAATTGTTTTCCGACTACCTAACCTACCTAACCTAACCTAACCTAACTTTTTCGGCTACCTAACCAAACCTAACCTATAAAGATAGGTTAGGTTAGGTTAGGTAGGGTTGGTTAGGTTCGGTCATATATCTACGTTAATTTTAACTCCAATAAAAAAAAATTGACCTCATACATAATGAAATGGGTAGCTGTATCATTTCATAAGAAAAAAATTAGAAAAAATATATTAATTCAGGAAAACTTGGCTTATTAGGCAAATCGGGCCTTGAATAGTAGGCCAAGAAGTGAGTTCTGGCTACTAGGTACGACATATATATATATATATATATATATATATATATATATATATATATATATATATATATATATATATATATATATATATATATATATATATATATATATATATATATATATATAGATATATATATATATATATATATATATATATATATATATATATATATATATATATATATATATATATATATATATATATATATACATATATATATATATATATATATATATATAGGGTATTAATTTCATCAACACAAGACAGAACAAGAGTATTAATTGGGTATTAATTTCATCAACACAAGACAGAACACGAAACAATGGATATTGAATAGAAGTGTTTGTAGAAAGCCTATTGGTCCATATTTCTTGATGCTTTTATATTGGAGCGGAGTCTTGAGGTGGGTAGAATATAGTTGTGCAATAATTGGCTGTTGATTGCTGGTGTTGACTTCTTGATGTGTAGTGCCTCGCAAACGTCCAGCCGCCTGCTATCGCTGTATCTATCGATGATTTCTGTGTTGTTTACTAGGATTTCTCTGGCGAAGGTTTGGTAGTGGGAAGAGATTATATGTTCCTTAATGGAGCCCTGTTGCTTATGCATCGTTAAACGCCATACAAACGTTTCATGCCATGCAACGCCATGCAACCTCTGAAGAGACAAATAACACAACACCTATACCCCTATTAGACTATTTTACAGGAACTTCTTTTCCACAGCTCATAAAACGGAGGAAAGGGTCCTGAAAGATATTGTTAATAGAAACGTTATCCCTACAGACAAAAATCAGAGGATACAACTGACGTTTTACTATAAAACCAGAAAAACGGCCAGCCTACTCATGAGAAACTCTCCAGACACAAAACAGAACGCTTTAAAAGAGACTAACGTCGTCTATGCCTTCAAATGCCCTCTTGGGGATTGTAAGCTCCAAAAAACCCAGTATATAGGCAAGACAACAACATCTCTTTCCAGGCGTTTAACGATGCATAAGCAACAGGGCTCCATTAAGGAACATATAATCTCTTCCCACAACCAAACCATCGCCAGAAAAATCCTAGTAAATAACACAGAAATCATCGATAGATACAGCGATAGCAGGCGGCTTGACGTTTGCGAGGCACTACACATCAAGAAGTCAACACCAGCAATCAACAGCCAATTAATGCACAACTATATTCTACCCACCTCAAGACTCCGCTCCAATATAGAAGCATCAAGAAATATGGACCAATAGGCTTTCTACAAACACTTCTATTCAATACCCATTGTTTCGTGTTCTGTCTTGTGTTGATGAAATTAATACCCTATTATTGCCACCTCTTGTTCTGTCTTGTGTTGATGAAATTAATACCCTATTAATGCCACCTCACCCCATCCACCTCACTCAAATGTATATATATATATATATATATATATATATATATATATATATATATATATATATATATATATATATATATATATGTAGATATATATGTAGATATATATGTAGATATATATGTAGATATATATGTAGATATATATATATATATATATATATATATATATATATATATATATAATATATATATATATATATATATATATATATATATATATATATATATATATATATATATATATATATATATATATATATATATATATATATATATATATATATATATATATATATATATATATATATATATATATATATATATATATATATATATGTATACAAATAGACACCCTCCCACCCTCCCAGTAGTTGAATCGAACTCAGAGAGTACAGGTGTTCGCGCACCTGCTATAACTGGTACGTCTCAACCGACTACACCAACTCAGACTCCTTATAACAAGAAAACTGAGTTTGCTGAGTTTGTTTGAGGGGTCTGAGTTGGTGTAGTAGACACAAGACTACCATTACTGGTGATATACTGTGGTGGTATACTGTTGGTGTAGTGGACATAAAACTACCATGACTGGTGACTTTGGTGGTATACTGTTAGTGTAGTGGACACAACACTACCATGATTGGTGACACCCTGTGTTAAAAATGTTTTGTATTAGTCTTACAGAAAAATGTTGTCAGCTCCATACTGTTGGTTTGAGCCACTTCTTAGAGTTCACCAATCATCTCATGTTCTTCAAAGACGTGTTCTTTGTACTTAACAATCTTCTGTTCTTCCTTACTGACATGTAAGGAAGAACTTAGTACTTAGTGTTCAAGAACTTTCTTTTCTTCCTGACAGACAAGTTCTTAGTGTTCAACAGCCTTTTCATCTTCATCACAGACGTGTTCTTAAGTGTTCAAGAACCTACTTATCTTTCTCACAGACATATGCTTAGTATTCACCCACCTTTCTCACAGACGTGTTCTTAGTATTCAAGAACCTACTTATCTTTCTCACAGACGTGTTCTTAGTGTTCACTCACCTTTCTCACAGACGTGTTCTTCGTGTTCACCCACCTTTCTCACAGACGTGTTCAAAGTGTTCACCCACCTTTCTCACAGACATGTTCTTAGGATTTACCCACCTTTCTCACAGACGTGTTTAAAGTGTTCACTCACCTTTCTCACAGACGTGTTCTTCGTGTTCACCCACCATTCTCACAGACGTGTTCAAAGTGTTCACTCACCTTTCTCACAGACGTGTTCAAAGTGTTCACTCACCTTTCTCACAGACATGTTGTTAGTGCTCACCCAACCGTCTGACATGTTCTTGGTGTTCACCCACCCGTCTGACATGTCCTTAGTGTTCCCCCACCCGTCTGACATGTTCTTGGTGTTCACCCACCCGTCTGACATGTTCTTAGTGTTCCCCCACCCGTCTGACATGTTCTTAGTGTTCACTCACCCGTCTGACATGTTCTTGGTGTTCACCCACCCGTCTGACATGTCCTTAGTGTTCCCCCACCCGTCTGACATGTTCTTAGTGTTCACCCACCCATCTGACATGTCCTTAGTGTTCACCCACCCGTCTGACATGTCCTTAGTGTTCACCCACCCGTCTGACATGTCCATAGTGTTCACCCACCCGTCTGACATGTCCTTAGTGTTCACCCACCCGTCTGACATGTTCTTAGTGTTCACCCACCCGTCTGACATGTTCTTAGTGTTCACCCACCCGTCTGACATGTTCTTAGTGTTCACCCACCCGTCTGACATGTCCTTAGTGTTCACCCACCCGTCTGACATGTCCTTAGTGTTCACCCACCCGTCTGACATGTTCTTAGTGTTCACCCACCCGTCTGACATGTTCTTAGTGTTCACCCACCCGTCTGACATGTTCTTAGTGTTCACCCACCCGTCTAACATGTTCTTAGTGTTGACCACGCTTCCTATCTTCCTGACAGGCCCTAGAAGCTCTGGGGATCGAAGACCTGTTCTCGAGCCGCAGTGATCTCACCAACTATGTCCGGGGCACCAGCCTGAGTGTGAACACCGTCATCCACAAGGCCGTGGTGGAGGTGAACGAGGAAGGCTCCGAGGCTGCTGCTTTCACACTCATCGTCTTCAGAAGGGTCCGTGGACCCAAAGTGTTCAGATGTGACCGCCCCTTCGTCTTCTTCATCAAGGACAACCACACTAACACCATCCTCTTCATGGGTGTCTACAGGAAGCCCTTATCTTGAGATTATCTTGAGATGATTTCGGGGCTTTTTTTTTTTTTAGTGTCCCAGCGGCCCGGTCCTCGACCAGGCCTTTACCCCCAGGAAGCAGCCCGTGACAGCTGACTAACACCCAGGTACCTATTTTATTGCTAGGTAACAGGGGCATAGGGTGAAAGAAATTCTGCCTATTGTTTCTCGCCGGCGCCTGGGATCGAACCCAGGACCACAGGATGTCCAGCGTGTTGTCCGCTCGGCCGACCGGCCCTAACACCATACTCTTCATGGGCGTCTACAGAAAGCCCTAACTCCATACTCTTTCTGGGGGTGTCTACAGGAAGCCCTAACACCATACTCTTCATGGGCGTCTACAGGAAGCCCTTGCACCATACTCTTTCTGGGGGTGTCTACAGGAAGCCCTAACACCATACTCTTCATGGGCGTCTACAGGAAGCCCTAACTCCAGAGACCTTAACTTTGATATCAAGGAATTATGAACAACTCGCAAACTTAAGTTTCAGACGTGTATATGTTGCTTGAAGAAGTGAAGGATGACGTCTCTTCACAGCAACCGTCATAGAAAACACATATATACACACACACACACATGAATATACCTGCCTTACACATATTACTCACATTCACACTCACGTAGGTGTATACTTCCTCTTTCTCTCATAATACATATATGCACATGTATACCTCCTCTCTCTACTACAACACTTACTTGTGTCAACACTTTCAAGTGTCAACACTCACTTATGTGAACTCTAGTTAGTGTAAACACTAGCTGTGATAAACACTAGTTAGTGAAAACACAAGCTGTGATAAACACTAGTTAGTGTAAACACTAACTGTGATAAACACTAGTTAGTGAAAACACAAGCTGTGATAAACACTAGTTAGTGTAAACACTAGCTGTGATAAACACTAGTTAGTGTAAACACTAGCTGTGATAAACACTAGTGAGTGTAAACACTAGCTGTGATAAACACTAGTTAGTGTAAACACTAGCTGTGATAAACACTAGTTAGTGTAAACACTAGCTGTGATAAGCACTAGTTAGAGTAAACACTAGCTGTGATAAACACTAGTTAGTGTAAACACTAACTGTGATAAACACTAGTTAGTGAAAACACAAGCTGTGATAAACACTAGTTAGTGTAAACACTAGCTGTGATAAACACTAGTTAGTGTAAACACAAGCTGTGATAAACACTAGTTAGTGTAAACACTAGCTGTGATAAACACTAGTTAGTGTAAACACTAGCTGTGATAAACACTAGTTAGTGTAAACACTAGCTGTGATACACACTAGTTAGAGTAAACACTAGTTGTGATAAACACTGGTTAGTGTAAACACTAGCTGTGATAAGCACTAGTTAGTGTAAACACTAGCTGTGATAAGCACTAGTTAGAGTAAACGCTAGCTGTGATAAACACTAGTTAGTGTAAACACTAGCTGTGATAAACACTGGTTAGTGTAAACACAAGCTGTGATAAACACTAGGAAGTGTAAACAATAGCTGTGATAAACACTAGGAAGTGTAAACACTGTGATTAACACTGGTTAGTGTAAACATTAGCTGTGATAAACACTAGTTAGTGTAAACAATAGCTCGAGTAAACACTCGTATGTGTAACAGTTAACCGCTGAAGAAGTTCATCTTAGTAAACGTTCACTTATTGTTGTCCTCGAGTTTCATGTTAAATAAAGTATTGTCACAAGTTATTGTTCATATCTTTTTCATCTATACTATAAGAGATAATGTCTGTCTGTTCAAAGTTGGCGGTAACAAGGTTGAGGCTACCGTCACCCAAATTAAATTTGCAGAGGGAATGGTCTTGCGTAAGGGATAAACATAGGCTGGTCGGGTCCTATAAGTCAAAAGAGAACAGCGCGCTAACGCCATCTCCTCCTTCTCTATAGATTTGGGCACTGGCGGGCATCTACATATCTATATTTTCAAAACAAAATCCTTTCGTCCTCAAAAAAATCTTAAAGTAATATTCACCATTATTCACTGATCTTGGGAAAATTACGAGAATTTTGTGCTGTTAATAATTTTGCCGCACTGGCATAAAACACACGATCCTTACACAAAGTCAGAGGTTTCTCAAGCAACGGCACTGTGGCACAGTAAGCAGTAACTATTATTGTTTTGTACTTCACACCACTGAACTCCTCTCGCTCTCGAACTCCCACACATTAGACAGTTATAATGTTTATACGAGACAGACAGGTGGACAGAGACAGTGACACACACAGCTAGAGTTAGATAAAGAGACAGAGACAGACACAAAGAAAGACAGAGTCAGACAGACAGACAGATAGATAGATAGATAGATAGATAGATAGATAGATCTATGAATAGATGAATATTGTTGGGGTTTCTCCTTTCTCTATCCTTACTCTGGGGTGAGCAATAGTTATGCTCAAGGTCACTCACCGTAGCCCTGCGGGTCTTCACTCGATCCTCACGGCGCCACTGCACGCCAGGAGAGTCTCCCAGTCAATCTCAACGGCCTCTGATTAAGAAAGAGTGGGAACACGACTCGTTCACTTGACTGTCATGTGCCCTCCCCAACAATCGGGCTCTACGGTTAACCACAAGGTCGCCAACTGGTGTTTTAGGTGGCCAGTAACACCTCAGTGGCCTGGTGGAATTAGTGGTAGCCTTGGCAAGGTCACACTCAAAAGATCAGGACTCAGGCAGGTACTTACTGTTATCACTCTATGCTTTCAGTATAATATAGCCACAAGATCAATGGAGGAGATGATATAAACACAATGGTAATTTTGTATTTTACTTAAAATGTATGAAAGATGTCACAAGGCCAAACAATAATAAGTAAATCAACTGATCCTGGCAGCGGCCGGTAGTTCCCACGAATAGTATGCACTCACTAAGTGGCAACACCTCCCCTCCTCATCAAGTGTCAAGAACAGCTGATCGCCTGGCTCCCGCGCGAAAGCTTATTGCTTGTTTTCTAGATTCACGCGCGCTGTTTCTTTAAGTTCCCCAATATTACCAGAAACTCGCACACTCGATATTGGCACAATAGCACGTATTACTTAGTTACACTATACTCGGGCTCAAACAGTCGTTTCTACAATCAATGCTACAATGACTCACTGTAATGGTCTTACATTGCCCTTCATTCAACAATATATTATGAAATATTAACACTGGAGTTTTCAGTACTTTCTCTCGTGGGCGATAACGCAATAATTCACTGTACTCACAAATGATTAATCACTGCATGAACATAAGACATATATAGTGTATACCAATCAAACATCAATACATGGAAAATAAATAGTTTCTAAGCACGTAGCCTAACCTCCACATACTGGCATAATATTATATATAATTTATCACTATATTTTCACATCAAAATCTCTAGAAAGATATACACAACACAGTAAATTTATCACTCGTTCCTGGTGCCTGTACACACCAATAATCAACATAAGTATTATAAGTACTCTTGATAGTACTACACGGCAAACTGGTGCCTTACTGTGACATTGGTGAGACTTGCTCACGACATATAAAATCCTCAGGCTAGATAATATAGCCGAATAATATAGCTAACTAAAGGGGAATGGGGAGGGAACCAATCCTATCCTATCCTCCGATGAGAGTCGAGATGTAGCTCCTGGTCCTCGTGTCGGGAACGCCCCCACACGACACGTCGTCGTGTCCTACCAGAGCCTCTCGTCGTCCCACCGTTTAGCGCGTCGTCTCCGTGCCCTCTTCACTGCAGGTCCGTCCTCCTTCTTGACTTCTTGAAGGGTTGGAGTCGGTCTCCTGGCCGTCGTCTTCTCCCAGCAACGGCTGCCGCCTACGTCTCAGCAACAGTCGTCCGGATTCCCCAAATAGTCCTCTCCTTCCTCAGCTACCCAGTGGCTCTGTCAGCCACTACGCTGTCACGAACTGGTGAACTGCCACAGACGTCACTGCACGGCTTCACTGCTTCTTGCACAGTACCTGACTGGAGCACTTGTTGCTCAAATAACCGTCGATTCCCTCTCTGGTTCAACACATGAACTAGGGAGGACCTCTCAGAGTACTGGCAGACTTCAGGTGACGCGTAAATCCACGGGAGCGGGAAACAACTGTCAAACTGACAGGACCAATCGTCGCACGTCCGACCTCTTTGACGTGTCGTGTCTGACTGCCTCGCCAGAGCGGCGCGCGGCCTGGACCCCCTTCCTTCGTGACGTCACTTTCGCCACGGGAAGTTCTCATTGGCTCCCGGTGCCACATTGCTGTCGGTGACCAATCCGGTGCCACTGACGTCACATGGTTTTGGCGGGAAATCAGGAAGGCCAGCGCCATCTTGGCTCCCTAAAGGGCCTATACCACAGGCCAAAATATTACTATTTCACAAATTTCTCGGCTCTCCGAGAACACTCCACTCTCTCCCATATATCAAATTGTAGCCGGCAACGTAGAGAACGCTTGGGAAAAGTAGACATGACTCTTACTGCAGGCGTGGGAGAAATATAAGGGGGGGGGGAATTCCGTCACAATATATAGATGAACAGATAGAAAGCTAGAGGGATATATATAGATTGAAGGATAAATGGCTGCATAGATAGCTGTAAGAATTTATAGCTAGATATATGGATAAATGGACAAAGTGATGGACAGATTAACAGATAGATGGATAGGTAGATGAATAGATGGATGGACAGAAGGATGAATAGATTGATAGAGCTATTCACAGATTGATGAGTAGATAAATGGATAAATAGATCGAAATCCCCGTGGCGCGGTGTTACAACCCTCGCCCCGCGCTTGCCGAGCAATCTACCCTGGGTTTGTATCATGGCCGGGGAGGATTGACTGGGCGCCAATCCTTAACTGTAGCCTGTGTTCACCCAGCAATGAATGGGTACCTGGTTGTTAAACGACTTGGTGGGTCGTACTCCAGGGAACATAGGATTAAGGACCTGCCCAAAACGCTATGGTTGCTGGTGGCTGTACAATAGTATAAGAACTCTTCTATATATA